TTCAGTACACCCTATCCTAAGTGTGTGCGCTAGACTGCAACAGCGCTTCACGCCATCTGGGCCGCAAGCTGTTCCGTCAAACCCATTCGCGACGCATGCAGAAATCCAGCCTGCAGGCCATGGACATCAGCACGGGTTGGGCTCCCAAGTAGCGCTCAATCTTGCATGAGGTTTCCGTGAACCCAAACAGCTGGTCTGGGAAAATGCAACCTAAGACAATACTTAGTCTCATTCCGCAATAATCATTTGCGTCTGAGTCTATTGTACAGAGCATCTTTGCTTTGAGAATGTGGAATGTGCATCGTATGGACAGTTTCCGTCCACTGATTTCAAGTCCACCGGGCTAACAACAAACAGGACACATGTTTGATCAAATTACAACAGTAATTCCAACACGTATGGTGGGCGGCAAAAGTTGTCCCTCCCAACTGTTCTCTTGAGACAACCGTGCAGGAACCATCAGGAAACTATGTTGAAGCTTGGGCATAACAAGGACGCTACTAGGAGCAAAGGGCATCGCTACTATGAGCAAGGACGCTACCAGGCGCTCCTGGCCTTGCTACTAGTAACAATAAAGCTACTAGGAGCAAGGACGCTACCAGGCGCTCCTGGCCTTACTACTACTAAAAATAGGCTACTAGGAGCAAGGGCATCGCTACTAGTAACAAAGGGAAACTATGTTGGAAACTAGTTACACCCAGGCCCAGGACTGATGTTTTGCCTCCAAGCAGCTTAAGAGGGCAGCAAATTCCCTGTTAAACAACAATCCGAATGGGAGTTTAGGCAATTGAAGCTTTGTCACCCGTTTTGGCGATTCGATAACAAAGATACTATAACATTCGGAGACTTTCAACACTCACCATGTCCTCAGTGCTCAGCACCTCCATGTAAACAACAGTGCAAACCCTAAACCATACACCCTAAAACGACAAACCCTATGAAGGTGGGTGGGTGGGGGGCAAACCACGTGTCCTGGCACTATAGTTACAACATGTTACAAATGGTAACTGTCACAAAAACAGGAAGGGAACAAGGAACACACCAGTGTTTGGGGGTGACGGTTCAAAGCCACAACCCTCCACAAAGGAAAGCCTTCGCGGTCAAGATTTCCAAGCTGCTTTACATCAAGCGCCCGCCACAAATCTGCCTTTGTACTGTGCTTGCGCATCAAACACTAGTATGGAGATCTGTTCAATCACAAAACCCAAAGAGCTTTGGGCAGTCGTCTTTCTCGTCTGTCTTGCTGCCGTCAACAACTAGAAGAGCAACATCACTCTCCCGCCATCAAGGGTCTGGGGCCCATGCTGGACTCCCCCACACATCTTTTATCCAGTCGCGGATGCGGTTGACGAGCTCACCATCGGTTGGACACAGCTCCTCAATCAAGCACTTCCACCTTTGTCTTTTCTTGGGGCAGTGCAGCAAAATTCTCACTATATTCGAACATGTGACATATGAATCGAAATATGACATTGGTGAAGACATGACATCTTCTCCTCGAGGGTAAGCATCCCATCCTCTTTCAAACCAACAACATTCTTGGCAGTCAAGTCCTGGCGATGCTTTTACTGAGCCTGGCTGGATTGGCCTACTAGCACTGTTTTCTCCAAGCAGGCCAGGCATGCCAAGAGCCCAAGCCTCCTCAAATGCCAATCCAGTTCCTGCGGAGCAATGAAGTGAAGGAATTTTATAAGAATTCCGATTCCCTCAATTCCGCCTCAAAATATGTCATATCTATTTCACTATCTACTTATATACTTATATGTTATACTTAACTATTGACTATTGAACGACTGACTACTTGGCTCTCTTGAGTACTCTATCTTAAGTACATACTTATTTAATCACTTACAAGCTTAACTATTCAAAAGCTTACTCCATTACTTAACTATTGATAGTTTAACTTAACTACTTAACTATCTACAAACTTATTTGTTTACTGGACTACTGAGCTACTTAGCTACTTACCAACTTAAGTACTACAGACTCTACTTAGCTACTTAACTACTTACTCACTTAACCACCCAGCTACTGAAGTACTTAACCATTTGGGTGTGGCCAGAAACCCTGGTATGGACCGTTCCGTGCTGCAGCGAGAGTGGTCCAAACCCTATGGACCAGAGCGCTGATCACAGCTTATTGAGGAAAGTCAAGTTCACAATCAGGTGACGCTTTCAATTTACTGGTTTCATGCACTTTCAGTTTCTTGGGTCCACCAAGAGTAGACAGGCAGCTGGATTTTCACCACTCATTTTTTGGCTATCAGCAGTTTTCCAATTAGTCGATTCCGGTACAGTAACTTGAAAGTGCCTGCCCTGACACAGTGGACTCAAAGAGCTGTGTGAATGTGTGCGTGTTTTTGTTCGCCTTTGTCATGCCATCTAGTCTCCCCACGTCACAAGGATGCATGCATGGAATGGGTAGGCAATGCAAAAACCAAGCAATGGCCAGCGGAAAAGGGCGGACACCAGCAGTGACAGACCTGAGAAACAAATGAATAGAACTGTTACGTGGCCAGCGGAAAAGGGCGGACACCAGCAGTGACAGACCTGAGAAACAAATGAATAGAACTGTTACGTGGCCAGCGGAAAAGGGCGGACACCAGCAGTGACAGACCTGGGAGACAAATGAACAGAAATGCTCCATGGCCAGCGGAAAAGGGCGGACACCACCAGTGACAGACCTGGGAGACAAATGAATATAGATGTCGCATCGCCAGTGAAAATGGGCGGACACCAGCAGTGACAGACCTGGGAGACAAATGAATAGAAATGCTACACGACCAGCGGAAAAGGGCGGACACCACCAGTGACAGACCTGGGAGACACATGAATAGAAATGCTGCATGGCCAGCGGAAAAGGGCGGACACCAGCAGTGACAGACCTGGGAGACAAATGAATAGAAATGCTACATGGCCAGTGGAAATGGGCGGACACCAGCAGTGACACAAAGGGCGGACACATCTTAAGAAAGAATTGAGAACCCCTAACAGTAAACTGTTTGGGTAAATACCTTATGACCATTTCAACGCTCTCCCCAGTGGCCCTGCGGACACATAGAAAATACCACACGTAATTCAAAAAAAGAAGTGCTCGAAATGCCCCGACACTTTTTCCGTTTGCTTGTTCGCCTCCTTAGGCAAGAAGGTCTTCAAGCTTGTGCAGCTTCTATATCTTCTATCAAGGACTTGTGCACCCTTGCTTGGGGAAAGCCCTTTCGGCTTTCGAGGCATCTCTTCTTCGAAGAACTCTGAGCTTGGTTTACTTGGGAACACTTGAGTTTCCTCTTTTCAGATCTTTTCAGCCATACTTTTCCAGCATGTGCGTTCCCGCTCTTGAACACGCAGCAGTGATCGCCTCTTCTTTCTCGACAACAAAAGTCTGCTTTCCCTAACATCCCATTTGTATCCATTTGTCTATCATTCCTACTTCGTCCTCGTCCGAGAACAAATGTATGGCTAGTCCAACACAAATGTGTGCTTCCTAGAAGGGATTCTGATTAAGCCCCCTACCCGGACCCGCCTGGTCAAAGGCACAGGCTTCTACAACATAGTCACAAATGCAACAATTGAAGAAATAGGCACAGGAAACCTGTGGTGTGCCCAGAACTACTTATATACATACTTAATCGCTTACTTATTTACTTACTTGATTACTTAGTTAGTTAGCTAGTTACTTACTTGCTACCTACTTACCTACTTACCTACTTACTTACTTACTTACTGAAACTTACATCTTATATACCACTTGTCCTCCCCCATAGCAGTGCCCTGGAGTCTTCTCCCTAAAAAACTCTCGACGTCTTCCTTGATGCTCACGTCCATGGAACCTTGGTCGAAGGCAGCACTCAACCATGCAGAACTTGAGGTTCTAGTTCTTGGGGACTATTTATAGAGTATATCATAATCTTCCTATTCTTGAGATCAACCTTGCACTTTTTCCTCTTCTCCGGTTACTTGCAAGCTGAGTTGTCAACCGTCTGGATCCAGCTCTCGCCTCCATCCTCGCAACAGCAAGCCACCTTAGCCAAGTGATAATCCCACATGTTCACACCTAGCTTCCCAGTTCTTGGACTTCAACCGCCTCTTTCGGCCAATGTTGAGACCAGGTCCCTTCGTTCTTTTACCTGAGGCAAATTCAATTCAATAGCCTGCCATGTTAATTATGAGGCAAACACAAAGTGAGCAAGAAACATGCTAGTTTTGCTCCAAGGCTAGAACTCGCTTTAGTTCCTGGTTTGCCTCCTCAAGCAAGGCAGACTTTCGCCTAGCATTCACGGAGCAACAAAAAAAACTAAAGCACTTTGCAACACATCCAGCTCTGCCTTAGTCCTGTAAGACCTTGGCTTTCCTCTCCCATTCAAGTGGGCTGTTCACTCGACACCATAGACGTGGTTGATTGGTTGATTTGTGCGAGTCAAGCCGTCTGCCAAGATCGCTGTCAGGTGTTGAGTTATTCAATTCCATTCGGTTTACAAGCGGGTGCTTTTCAATTTGCTGACTCCTTACTCTGTAAGCGGGCCTTGATCTGCAACAGCAATCTTGAGGACAAACGGCACGAAGGAACGTCAAACAACATCCGTTCTATGTTGAGTCTTTCTGGGTTCTCAAGTGCTTTGTTTTATTGGATGATATTGGGTGTGTTCTGTTCAACATGGAATGCACCAACAAACATCCAAATCCAAATGTATAACTCTCCAAAATCTTTAACTGTAAACAACGCAGTAAAGAAAACGCGTAAGGTCAAAATCGATTCTGATCCATTTTATGCCATGTGGACTGGACGGTTAAACTTAGATTGACTCTTGTAAGCACGAGCAACGGGAGCAGTTGCCAGGCATTTGGGCTGGAAGCACATGTCATTTGCAGTGCTCCAACCCATAAGAAGAGCTACTACCCTTACTACCCTGGCCAGGAGCCTTTTTGCCAGAAGATTCAGTAAGCTGCAGCAAGTAACCAAATAACATGTGACACGCTGCTTGACTCCCCTAGCCTTTCAAGGCCTTACCAAGCTCTTCCGAATTGCCTGGCCAAGACGTCGGAACAGCTATGTACAACGGCTTGCCACGAGATCTTTGTCCAATTCTCGGGCTGCTTCACTCGACCTGGAACGGCATGAACTCCAGGTGACCAAAGCATGCCAAATTGGACAACTGAGTCTGCTCTCGGCATATCTTCTACATTTTTTTGTCTCCCTGAACTTACTTTGTGCAACTATTTTCAGTGTTATTGTAATCTATTTTAATATGTGTATTTACTGTATATATAATGATTTTGATGCATAGCCGTAGCCTCCATTGCAGCATCACGAGCTTCTGGAGTGGCCTAGCAAAAGATTCGGGTGATTCTCAGCACCAACAAACATCTACAAACATTGAACGCCAATTCAAACAGACTCCAACAATAGCGTACCATCCAGGACTGCACATTCACATGCGAATCCAGCGCTGCATTTGTTGCATCGTAGTAGACACTTGGCTGCAGCTTCTCCGTCCACGGATGTTCTTGAGATGGCCGTGGCAACAGTTGGGTTGACCTCAGGACAAATCTTTAGCCAACGGTCCAAGAGCAGTACATGATAATAAAATGTAATAAATGCATTTCAGCACGGACAAAGTTTGCACAGCGGGATGTCCTGAAGCATGACATCAGGAATCATCAGGAAGAAAGGAACTCCCGGCTTCCAAGAATGCTCCGAAATACTTTCCGGTGCAAAGAGTAGATTTGTGCAAAGAAGGAGGTCTAGCATCATGCAAACCACCTTTATCTGTTTGTGTTTGGCCTGTATACTGATAGACAGGGGGCAAGCGGCAAGGAACTGAGGGCCAAGCGCCAAGCTGGCGTAGTTTTGGCTATCAGGAGGCGCCAACACCGGCATGGGCGCCGCTTGACCTTCCTTGGCCCATGCGAGTGCTAACATCCTCACACCACTCTCAATTGTCTTTCCGACCTCATGGATCCGGATCCCCTTATTCAGGCTCTGGCGGGAGTGGTCTTTGACTCTTGTGCCACCTAAGAGGTCGCGTTGAGGCCAAAATGCTGAAATGGTCATTTCCGAATCTCCGAAAGGCTCAGCTTGCTGCAGAATCAGATCCGTTGGGTAGTGACAAGCGCAGGCCAACAGGCCGCGTCCCCAAAGCCCGCAAGGTTTTTGGTGGTGGCTGCCTTTGCGGTCGCAGTGCGAGAATTTCTTTGCAGTTTGACGTGTTCTATCTGCTTACATATGGCTCAAAGCACTCATTATATCCTACTGTCTAATGACTTAGGCCAACGTGATGCAAGTGACATACCAATCTGGCTACCCCCAGGGCTAAGTCATGTGCCCTGACATATCGAGCAAAAAAAATGTCTGGGTTGGGAAACCTGGTGTCATAGGACCTGTGGACACCTCCTCGACAAAAAATGTAAAAAAACAGCTAAATAATGCTAGATACCACTGCCTGGCACCCTGGTGACAGTGGTGACATAGGGTGCGACTATGTGTTGCTTCCTTGAATACCTCATACATATTTCTATGAATATCATGGTTGTGGCCTGATGACATAGGCCTTAAGAGGAAATGCCAATGTTGGATCAATCCTGATGACATAGGCTTTTGGAATTGGCGTGTATGTCCGACAAGTCCTAAGTTACTAGTCAGTAGTATATCATAAAATCTCAATGGAACATGCTTCAATGATCTCCAATGGGACCCGCAGAATGGTCCATGTTGGGCAAAACAAAAACGTCGTTGCACTGATTTTTGAGATTTTTTGTCCGTCTGTCTGATTTGGCTTCTGACCGAGCAGACTCAGCAAGGCCCAAGGTCTCCTTCCAAAGCACATTGCGTCAGCTTTGTTCTTTCTGCATCTTCCTTTGAAGCTTATGATAGCTTATTGTGTACGAACCTTTTCACACTCCTAGCTCGGCCTAGCTCTTCTCCTCATTCTTTTGTCCACTGGGTATTTCGGCTGAAAAGCTCATCTGCATAGTCAAATTCCTCACAACTGCAATTTTGAATGAAACCTAATGAAACATCAACAGCATTCAACAGCCATCGAGTAACATGTGCAAAGCTACTGAACAAATCGTATGCCGTATTCAAGGTACATGGATTCAAACCACTGCCATTTGATTGGAATTCTACCAAGGTGTTCCAAGGCTGTAACACAAGTGCTTCAAGCTTCCTCTTGTGCCTTGGCGGGTGTTGATCCGTCGCAAGCCGCTGGAGTAAAAATAGGCGAATGATTCAAGGAACAGAACTTCATGCTGGCACACCACCCATCAACCGAGCAGTTTCATCTGACACAGCTTGACGTTTAGACACATTGTGACACATTTATATATATATATATGTGTTTGATGGTGTTTGTTTTTTTGAAGTGCTGTGAGGCAAATCCCAAACCTAGGGAGCAAAACAATTGAGGTTCGAGCCCTTGTCGCACATTGCCACTCTCCCACTCACTCAGTTCGGACTCGTCTGCATCTGTCTCGTACCCAGCCTGATGTCAAGACACTTCTACGTTCACAAGGGACCATCCTCACCAACAGTAACTGTTGTGCAAAGCTGCAGGCCTACCAACGTACATCTTGGAACCTTCAGCTAGTGTTGTTCGAGAACAACTGGCCTCGTAGCCACTGTCGTCAGTGGAAGACCAACCTTTGTCCATTTGCAAAGCGAAACCAAGCAGCACAACTGTTTATGTGCACTAGACTGCACTACAATTCTGCATGCACCCTTGCAGGTTTCACTCTTGTCTCTGTGCTAGACTGTTTAGCCCTTGCTCTTAATAGTTTTTGTTTATTCATACTTTAACGACTTTAACACCCATTCTCATTCTCCAATAATTGAAACGATCTCAACATGGGCCGTCTCAAGAGCTGAATAAATCGAAGGTGATCTTCATGCGTTCAACTAAGCGGCAGGCACAGGTGCTCGGGACAAGCCTCAAGCAAACCCAGCTTGAGGTCTTGATGGTCTTCGATTTAATTTCGACTATAAACATCTGTAGACCTTCCTAGGATGGCCTCCAACCTACTAGCAATGGCCTTCAACTCAATAAACTCTAGACTCTAGACATCTCTAGACCT